CGGCGGCACCACCAATACTAAATCCACATCAAAAGACGCTCGGCTTGATGTGATGATGAGATAGAGCGCATGTCGGACTCTCGGAGTGCAGATTTGAGTTGTCGAACTAAGATGGGGATTGGGGCAGTCTGAGCTGGAAGTGGGAAGATCACGGTGAGGGCGTATATTAGCATGGCAAGGCGGGTCGGTTCGTAGATGGGTCGTGGTCGAGTGGCAGATGGTAAGTCCGCATGTGATGGAAGGGATAAAAGGGTATGTTGGATGAGGTTGCGCCGGTCGCACAACCGTGCGAGATCCAAATCTGGGAGTGCACCGTCGACAAATCTTTCAACCCCGTGTTCGTATCGTTGCATAGCGACCCACACCACAGCGAGCTCAGTCGTGAGACCCAGATCAAACAGACTACTATAGGTGAATTCGTCCCTAAGCTCGTTTGGGCATGTGCCCAGCATCCCCCAGAGCGTTGCGGTTCGGTCGCCATCATCCGCCAGCGGTACAAAGGGAAACACTGGTTGCGTTAACGTCCTGCTTGCTTGGATAACTCCGGAGCTACAGTAGCATGGGAAATCCAACGGTCAGCTGCGAAAGTCGAAGACAAATGATCTGCGAAAGGCGAACTTACTATGATATGATAGCCGCGAGACCAGTGGTCTGAATATTGTTTAAGCCACCCCTCAACGCAATCAGTTGAACGAGGCCAGCTGCATGGACAGGATGGGCGCTGAGGAGTCCATAGACGTCCAGCCACTGAAGACTTTTCAATAAAGGATCGAATATTGGCTGAGTTACAGGCTGGGTCTGGAAGCGCTGCAGGGTCGAGTCCCAGGCGTTTGTCGCCATCGCAAGGACCGAAACTATTACTGCATCTGTTATAACATTCTTGGAATCACGGAGTGCTTTATTGATCAGGGAGATTGACTCGGCCTCGCAGCGTCGCATGTCCATTTCCAGATGAACCACGGCAGGGTCATCGGGTTGGGCGGAGCCTTTTAACAGGTTTAGCCTCTTGTGGCTCAGCGCCCCAAACAGAAGTGAGTGCAGCGCAACAGTGTCGTTGAGTGCCATCGGAAACCATCCTTGTATGGCGGCCGCTTCAGATCCGCTCAGGGGTCGCGGTGTCAATCCAGGCCACACGACCTGCAATGCTATTGGGTCGGGCGAGGGCCCTGTCAGCCACTTTCCATTCTTCAACCCAAAAGGGCCAATGTGGCAAGGAGGGAATCGACCAACTTACAATATTCATGACATTGTGATATCAACGACGAAGGGAATGTTGATGGATAGGTCTGAAAAGGGTCCAGCACTCCGGATCCCAATGTACGGATAAAGGGACGAGCGGTGCCGCGCGCAGCAGGAGAAAGTCTTTGACGAAGGTGGCTTGGTGCTGTGACTACAAGCCCGGTGTCATCTTCAATCTCGTCGCTCGTGCTGTCTTGATCGATATTACTTGCGCTACTTGAACTGTCCGTGTTGTCAGCCGGCCTTGCCAAGCTTACCCGCAACGGATGTTGCGATCGTGACTGAGTCGGCTCGACCGGTGAGAGTGAATCTGTGCGCGATGATTCCGGTGAGCTTCTCGTACTGGCGCCTGTTGCAGTCTTGGTGCCCTCGATCTTTTGCTGGTTCTCCTGCGTCCATCGTCCAATGTGCGAGCGGATCGCCGTCCGAGTTTGCCGCTTCTCGGCCTTTGTCTGGGGACGCGCATTGACGAACGAGTACCTTTGAGGAGGACTCATCGGCTAGGAGGTATGTCCGGTAAAACGCGTGGTGTCAAGCTGTCGCAGTCTCAGAGTGAGGTCGTGGTCGTCATTTGCACGTCGTCGGATTACCCAGATGTGTCTTTGTTCGTTGGCTGTCATCATATGGTACGGGAATGTAACTGCGGGTCGGGTTCCAGGGTTCCATGGTTCCCAAGGTTCCCCAACGGTCAAAGGTTCTAGCCTTCCGTGGGGGGCAGTTTTGTGTGTCGGAGGATGGGGCCAGATCTTGGCATCAGATTTCCCTCGGATATCATCGCCCTTGATTTCTTAAACGAGTTACTCGTCTCTTTATGTTCCGCATCTCGTTGTGATTTAACCAGGGGTATGTGTTCCCGATTGGTCTTGCTACAAGTACAGGAACTGCGGTATTGGCCCAAATTCATGCTGACTCTGGTCCAAGTCTACCCACGCGATTCTTGTGTTATATCGGTGTCAGCAACTGAGGTGAAGACATATCCCCCCTGAATAACTAGTACCTTCTATGGTGCAATGGCCGAACCACAAGCGGCCCGAGCGAGGTATTTGCAGCAAGCGGCGCGCATGATCTTCCTCTCCGCACCAACTACATCACGGCAGCTCTTGCGCGAAGGTGTAGAACTCGATCACGCAGCCTCATCGCATGATGCCCATAGGTCAGGGGATGCATGTATGACGTGTGGAAATCTGATGCTACCAGACTGGACAATATCTACAAGGATCGCAACTAGGAAGATCAAGACCAACAGGAAGACCAGCAGGAAGAGTAATTCGCGGATGACAACCTCCCGGCAAATAGTACGATCTAGGCGATGCTCATTGTGTTACCACATCACTAGAGATATCGCCACACTGAAATCCACTCATATGGAGGAGAGTCAGCAACCTCTCGACGTACCTGTCGAGCGCTCTGAGGCGGTAGTTACTGAATCAACTGATCCGGTTCTGGAAAAGCCCATCAAGTCGTCTAGCAAGAAAAGGGCAAAAGCACGAAAAGGCCGCGAAGGGCTACAGGCGCTTCTTAATAAAAGCATGCAGTCCAAAAGCACACCTGGCCTCAACTTGATGGACCTAATGAAAAAATGATGGACGGGTATATGGACAAGAGCCGCACAAGCACAACCAAAGCTTGCCACGAGGCTGCGTGGCTGGGCAAGGCTCCGGACTTCGGAGGCAAAAAACTCGTGGGCCTTGCATTAGTGCCCCTCGTTTTCCTTGGCATACGTCGATCGTTCTGGGTCCCTCGAAAAGATTCTGAAGTCTTTTTCCCCCTCGCCTTAAGAAGGCAGCGGACTGCGAGAAACAGAACAACCTTTGCGAAGTTAGAGATTGTGACACTCACCTATACTTGCATACATACCGAAACACACATTCCATCAACAACATGGCAGATTCCGAAACACCCACAGTTGTTCATGCCGACCCCAATGAGACTGGTGTCTACGAGATCGAGAGTCTATGCATGAATTGTCGCGATGAGGTACGCATACAAATATGATAGTTCGGAGAAGCAGGCTAACTCCCTCAGGGCATAACAAGAATCCTTCCCATCAAAATCCCGTATTTCAAAGAGATCCTTCTCGAGTCTTTCTCCTGCGATCACTGCGGCTGGAGGAACAACACTGTCAAAAGCGCTGGACAAATCCAAGAGAAGGGAGCAAAGTTTATTTTCAGGTTGGACAACATGGCCGACTTTCAGAGACAGATTGTTCGCGGCGATACGGGCGTTTTCCGCATTGAAGATCTGGGTCTCGAGACGCCGCCTGCTCCAGGCCAATTCACGAACCTCGAAGGCATGATCACGAAGATCAAAACGGATTTGGAGAGTGATCAACCTGCTAGGAAGGAGGTGAATCCTGCGCTCTACGACTCCTTAGAAACAGTCATTCAAAAGCTGGGCAGTATGCTACAAGGCAACAGTTTCCCGTTCACTGTTTCAGTCGACGATATCTCGGGAAACTCGTTTATCGAGCCTTCTCCAGACGACAAGGGCTCGAAATATTCTCGGACTGACTATCTCCGAAGCCACGAACAGAATGTGCAGCTGGGTCTGGTGGTGGATGATGAGGAAACACAAGACAACGGTGGGATGGAAGGCGTCGATATTGTTGATAATGAAGTTTACGAACTACACGCCGAGTGCCCTGCTTGTGGAAAGCCCTGCACGGTCAACATGAAAAAGACCAACATCCCGCATTTCAAGGAGGTTATCATCATGGCGACGGTCTGTGAACACTGTGGCTTCAGGACCAGTGATGTCAAAACTGGCGGTGCAATACCAGATAAAGGAAAACGCATCACACTGGACGTCAAGACGATCGAGGACATGTCCAGGGATATCTTAAAATCAGAGTCCTGCGTTCTAAAAAGTCAGGATCTCGGGTTGGAAGTCCAACCCGGCACGCTTGGAGGCCGTTTCACTACTGTCGAGGGGCTTCTCACCCAAGTGCGTGATCAGCTTCATAGTCAAATTTTTGACGTTGGAGATGCAGACCTTGCGGGAGGAGATTCAATGACAACAGACACACGGTCGAGGTGGGACAACTTTTTCGCCAAACTCGACGCCGCGATCGCAGCCAAATTTCCCTTTTCCATTACCCTCGAGGATCCTCTGGCAAATTCATTTGTACAATTGAATGCGGATCCCGGCAAAGATCCACAGGTCAAGGTCGAGGAGTACGAGCGAACGGACGAGGAAATGGAGGAGCTAGGCCTGAAAGATATGAAAACCGAGGGATATGAGAAGGAAAGCCAACAACCATGAGCAGCGGCTACACTCGTCTTCCGGCAGCTAAGATCATTCCCCTGACAGCAGGGTGTCCGAACAATGCGATTTTGTCGTTTCGACTTTGTCAGCCCTGGACTTTCGCTTGCTAGTCCAAGGACATGACTCGGCAGCAAAGATCCATCATGGGAGGGAAAGAACCAATCAATTTACTGCGTCGGTGATGGCTATGCACAGAGACTCGATGCGTTCAGATGAGTATGGGGTGTTTCGCTGCCAACCCAAACAGTCCAATCCGACGCGGCTGGATACGACATTCCGAGGCTTCGTACCGTCAGGTGTATAAAGGTAAGACCTACATTCAATGAGCCAAAGGCTGGATCTAGATGCCTTGGATAGCGACAGTGTTCCATTTGTGATGGTTCTTGCCGATCTCAGAAGATTACTAGTTACGAAGATGTCTGCAGCGATTTCGCACTATTTGTCATGGTGTCTCGGCCTCTCAGATCTGAGGCAGGAAATGCAGCCAAGAACCTCGTGTCTTGACACTCGGTCTGACGACGGGGTTAATGCCACGTCGCTGTCCTATCTTTCAGGAGGCGGCACTCTCAAGTCAGCTGCTTACCAATGAGGGCTTCGTTTCGCCTCCTGCAGCCGTGCCGTCTCTCCTGTTGCACAAGCTGTGGCATGGCCTTGGCTATCATTTTACACGAGTGGCACACCCTAATGTGGCATGTCTGACCAATGAGCTCTGCCCTGTAACCAGCTTCTCGGGGTTGCTTGAAGAAATACAATTCCGTCCTATGTTTTCTCCTTGAGCGACTACAAAACTCCTCTCTGCAACTTCTGGTAGAAGTCTGCATCCTGCCCAGCTGCACGATATCGGGAACAAAACTTATTGCTCGTGCCTTGTGCGAGATACTTCATCTGCGAACTGTGCCAGTGAAACCTTGGGCAATGACTCCCAATGTCGTTCTCAAGATCGAAACTCAACAACTCCCTGCTCCAGTTGAACTGTTCTGGATTGACCAGGCTGGGAGTAAGCATCGCCGGAAACTGATCAACACCCATACCCAGAAAAGATCGCGTCGGCTCAAGCGCTTGAACCACGCGTCTTCCCACTCTGCGGAGCGGGATTCTGATATGATGGCAGATTTGAGGTGCTGTACAAAGTACGATACGCTTGATGACAGAGCTCCCGCGGCATCGGGTGACTCGCAGTATATTGCAGTGACGAAGGAAGCGAGATCCCTCGAGAATGCTCTCAAGATCGAAGAGAATTCTACATTGTGCACCTCGCTCAGTCCTGCGCCATTATCAAGCATCCTTCTTCTTGATTTTGACCCCTTTGACAGTCTATCAAGAACGTTGAACAATCATGCCGGGAATCTGCTCAAATTTGCACAAACTCTGGCTTTGAACACAGACACCATATCATCTCACTGGGGCAAGTCATGCGTAGTGGCTCTCGGCCTTTCATGGAGCTTTTCATATCCTGTAAAGCTTCTCAACCTTCTCGAGCGGGTAAGTGCTTACATCGATACGGTCCAGGGCATTACAACCAGTCAGCGGACCATTTTCTGGCGTCAGGCCTCAATACAGCGTTTGGCGACACTCATATCTGATCCACATACGAGGCATGGCGAGGAGGTATTATCTGGCATCATTGCTCTGCTGCATGGGTATCTGCACCAGTACCGAGGGGATGACAAGGGGTCAGTTATGACAATTGGACCTCATTCGGCCGGTCTGAGGGACTTTGTTTCGCATGCTGGAGGCTGGGACAAGCTTGCCCTTACTACACATGTCGAACAATATGTCAGGATGGCCTTGATCATGACGAGCCTTCGACTTGCTTCATATCTCGACGACCACAGGGAAAGCAGTCATGGCAGCGAGTCCCTCCTTGGTTGGCACGCCGAGATTGATCGGGTGGTCTCGCTGTTCACGCAGATGGAGGCCTGGGCTCTGCAGCACGACCCCGGGTCCTCCCAGAAAGATCCCGAGCCCCTACTGGACGAACTTGCACGGCTTATCGCTGGGACTACTGGGATATGCAACCATTGTCACAAGCTATTTGTCCTAGTGTGGCTCAGTTTGACGCGGTGGCATTCGAGAATAATTCCTGGACAGTACCAAGATACCCTCCAGACTCTCGAATGTCAATTTCACAGTCTGCCGCACCGAGCACTGCCTGATTTCTCGTGGGCGATTGTGTCCTCACGGGTAGGGAACGCAAAGAGCAATTGGCAAACCATTGAAATCCTCAAAGTTT